TCTTGTGGTGGTTGAAGGTGCACTGTCTCCTTCAGGCACAGGCAACCTACCAGGAGACATTAGAAGAAATCCGAAGCAGTCATTTGGAGTCCCTGAAAAAGCAGTTAGAAGAGAGAACTAGAGATCTTGACCGTGCACTGGGAAGGATAAAAAGCAACCAAGCAGAAAGACCTTTTCAAAAAGAATCCAGCCAGGCAGAAGTGGAAAAGTATAAAGAGCTGTATGTAGTGGAAGCGAAAAGCAGAAAAAGCCTAGCCAAGAGACTGGAAAGGTAAGTCCCTGCTTTTTTGGACTGGTACTAAGAGACTCCTTTTTCCTCGTGCATTTTCCTTCTTAAATCCCTTTTCTACATCTGGCCAGCGTCAGGTGTGAAAGCAGAACGTGGCCTCTTTGTGCGGAAAGTTCCTTAAGAGCCTTGCCTTCCTCAGACCTGTCTTCCTCTCTCTTTAGAGTTCCAGCAGTAACAGCACAGTAGCGCCACTCTGGCATTGCTGGTGTCTTTTTCAAGTTGCTGTTGTTTTAGCAGGCAGTCTTTTTGCCAGTCTCTAATCTCCTCATCCCGTGGGTGAGAGAAAAGACGAATCTTGTGCCCTTTGCTGTTTGAATAAGGAGAGGCCTCTCGGAGAAGAGAGTTGGATTCTGTGAATCCAAACTAAGAAGGCTCTTTCTTGGCTTCTGTTTTGGCAGCAGGTCTGAGGGTTGAGCTTTCCTTGAGAAGGCCAGGGTAGGCCAGAGTTCTTCTGGAGGTGACACTGGCTGCTCCTTGCACTTGGTGTGATTTCTTAGAAACAGGCCCTGTGAACAAGCTCAGATCAAAGGATGTGCTGGTTTTGGACGGTCTTAATGCCCTTGGCTTTTAGAAGTGGGGTAATATGAAGGCCGTGGAGGGTAACTTTGCGAAAGCCTTAGTGCCAAAGATGACTCTGTGTGTGCTTGTGAATGTTTCAGAGCTAATGAGAGACTTGCAGAGGCCAACACCAAGCTCCTTTGGGAGCGCCACAGAAGCAAATCTGCAGTCCCAAGCAGCACCGTCAGCAGACACCTGGCTGCAAGTCCACTTCTGGATTCAACTGGCCTGGGACATCTTGGCATCAGTTTGGGACTGAGCAGAAGCCTGGGTCTCAGAACACCACTCAGCCATCTGTGGTAAAGTGGAAGACTTCCGGTCATCAGGTTTGTCCAAATTTTCCAGAGTGGTCCAAGGCCCAAAACTACGGAAATGGAAGCAATGAGCTGTGGAACTCCATTCTTTGACAAGAGAAACTGTGGGAAAGAGCACTGTGGGGCAGGAACCTCCCCCCTAAGTTCTCCACTAAATTGACACGTATGGTGTGTGTGACCTATTTGAAATGGCTGATGTCAGCGTGAGTGCCAAATGCCACCAGACATCTGTGAGACACCTTTTTCTTCATCAGTGATCTTCGTTCTAGCAGTTTCTTCCCCGGACCTTGCTTTAATATGTTACTCTGGATAGGAGGCATTTGCTGGTGTAGTTCCTGCTACGTCTTCCTCCATGAAACAGCAGAGCTCCCTACTCCTTGGGAAGTCTTCACGGCCTTCTAATTTTGCAGCAATGCTGCAAGCTCTGCAATACCGCTGGTCCAAGTATGGCCTGTAGTCAGCAGTCAGTGTGATAGCACATCCCTGCCAGAATGCAGAGCATGATAGCAGCAGAGGTGGAAACCCCCCGCCAGGAGTTGTAATCAGCGGGACAGGCACGTAGCATGGGCTTGAGGCATGGGCAAGCAGGAGGCTTGGAAGCGGATGATCTTTAAGGTCCCTTTAAGGTCCCCTTTTGGGGTTTTCCCCGAATTCACTGCCTTTCCATCCCGCTGAGTTCTTTTTTTGTTCTTTCTGTCTGCAGGTTGCTGAACTTTCCCAGCAGCTGGAGAGAGAATGTCAAAAGCGCATGCAGCTGGAAGCCACAAGTCAGGGTTTGCAAGACGATCTGTCTAGCCTGCGTGGGAAGTGGGAAAACCTGGAGAAGAGCAAATGCCAGCTGCAAGAAGAGCTGGCAAAGCTCCAGCATCATTTGGAGACCAATGTGGTGGATGGCAGCCAGATCATGGCTAGGCTTGGCCAACGAAGATTTGGAAGGGCTCTCCCCACATTTGCTACAAGTGCACTGGTGGCTAAAGAGACCAATGCAAGACAGACAAGATGGGTTGCAAAAGGCACAGCAGAAAGACTCCTGGGATGGGATTGGCAAGACGCGATTCTTTCTGCGTTGTCTTCTCTCTTCGATGGTGATCCTGAGTGCGTTCTCAAAGGAAGCAGCAGCGTTAGAGACAGTGTGTCTCCAGACCTCTCGATTGGAGGCCAGAGTAGACCAGCGCTGGAGACCAATGTGGCCAAGGCTGAGAGGTTGCTTCAGGGAGTCCTCGTGTCTCCTTTTGCGGGCTCCTCTCTTGCGGCAGCCAGTGACAGGTTTGCCATAGATCACGATCTTAGGGAGGCGGTAGTCCTCCATCCTGGAGACGTGCCCTGCCCAACGCAGCTGTGTTCTCAGCAACGTGGCCTCAATGCTGGTAATTGCCGCCTGTTGTAGAACAGACGTATTAGTTCCGTAATCTGACCAGCGGATGTTTAGGATTGTACGGAGACAGCGCTGATGGAAGCGTTCTAGGAGTCGCAGGTGGTGGCGGTAAATGAGCCATGATTCGGACCTATCTGAGAGAGTAGACAGCACAATGGCTCTGTAAACCCTGATCTTTGTACTTTTCCTCAGGTGTTTATTTACAAGGACTCCCTGAAACAACCTCTCACCTTGGCCACATTGCTCAACATAACTGGTCTACTCTGGCCTCCAGTCAGGAGGTCTGGAGACACACTATCTTTAACGCTGCTGATGCTTTTGAGAAAGCACGCAGGATGACTCTTGAGGAGAAAAGACAACGCAGAAAGAATCGTGCCTTGCAGAATATATCTCCTAAGGAGTCTTTCTGCTGTGCCTTTTGCAACCGGCCGTGTCTATCTCGTATTGGCCTTTTTAGCCACCAACGCGCTTGTAACAGACGTGGGTAGAGCCCTTCCCAAGTCTTCATTTGCGAAACCTGGCCATGATGATGATGATGATGATGATGATGATGATGATGATGATGATGATTTCGCCAGACTCTTTTATGGAGTCTTCCGAAAGCTCTCGATGCCTTTGGTAACCTGTTGTCTCCCCTAGTGGGGGCAGTATCCAATTCATTCTTCACCGGTTGTTGTATAATGGACTGAATTGCTGAGTCTTGACCTCCACGGTTGGTCCTGAAAAGAGTCTGAAAGTGTTCAGAGCATCGATTTAGAACGGCGGTTTTATCTGTGAGAAGCATTTGACCATCTGCGCTGAGGAGAGGGCTTTGGGCCTGGTCTGTCGGTCCGTCTGCTGTTTTCGAGGCCTCCTAGAATCCTCTGTGATCACCCGTATCTGCGCATAATTGAATTTTTCCTGCTAGATTGATCCACCCCTTGTTTTGGATGTCACGAAGTTGCTGTTGGAGCTTGCTGCCTGCGAGACGAAAGGCTGCTTTTCTTCCATGAGCAGATGGCTGAGCAAGGTGTGCTCGGTGGGCAGTTCTCTTGTTCCTCCACAAACCCTGGATCTCTTGATTGTTTTCATCCAAGCAGCCCTTGTTCTTCTTGAAGGAGAAGCCTAAGGATTCTTCAGAGGACTGCAGGATGCTATTTTTCAT